GGGGGGGGGGCAATTTGGCTGGGATGTGGCACACGATTTTGGCACATGACTTCTCGACTCCATTCTATAACACTTGTAGATGTTAATTTGCTAAGCTTTCACTAAGCCTCCCTGGAATCTGGATAGAATCGAAGCAGAGACTGTCATAAACTCTGGTGATATGAAAAAAACAAAGGAGACGTCGGTCTAGTGACTGAGTAGAAGCCTGAGAAAATTTTCTTTTCTACCGTCGATAGGAATCGAAAGCGTATTTCCAAAGGATAGTGTAACGTTTCTCATATATGTCATCTCGACATTTATTGTACCAAGTCCTCCTAGTAGCAGTCGGTGTGTTCGCTGCGGTTGCACAATTTAGCTCAGAATGTTGAAGGACTAAGACACGTGCCTAGTTCACTTAATTTTACAAATGATTGACTTCTCTTCTTCTGTTTGCACCATTTGGGTGACCTTGGCAAAGAAATTTATTTCCCACTCTGTTTGTAAAGACAGTATCTATGTTCAACTATTGACCTGAATGGAAGCGTAAACGCACCTTGCTACACTACACTCTAATAAATGATTCTCGACAATTCTCGCTGAAAAATGAGAATTCTGTTACCATTATTAGATCCGCTCGGATTCGTCCAATGCCACACAGTGCCTCCCTTGATATGCGATCTCATGTGCGCAGTAGTTATATCAGCAGTGGATTCAATCAACGGAATGATCTGGTCATTGTCTCAGGTGCTCTGGGCGGCACACTCACCCTAATTCAACCCCAGCGTCTCCGCTTTCAGCGCTTTCAATGGGACTCGAGTGATATCAATTGTGCTGACTTCCTACAGGTACTGGTCTAAAAAAGGATCATTTTTTATCATTCAGACACCACTGAAATTCAATGTAAAATGCCCTCTTCTTGTCCTTTAGACTTGTTGCTAGTAATTGGTGGATTTTTTTTCAACGGTCCGACTATTTACCTAATTTCATGCAGATTTTATCTCAACTTTTGACCGATGAGCCAGTATGGAATCTCACAAAGCAAATTGTGCAGGAGGTTTTATTCAAATATGTGATGCTGTCTGGGGATATTAATGCAGTTCTCGTAATCGATTGGGAAAATATTTAGAGGAGAATCAAAGCCCCCTTCATAGGCTATTCATATTATTGATCTTTCGTTATTTTTTGTCAGAGTTGCCAAAGTATGTGAAATCTTAGTTCTACAGTTACGCAGTTATGAACACGAACGTTGAATGTGATGTTGATTGACAATTAGGGTTCACCGTCTGGAAATACACATCAATTTGGGGGATAATTATATCTTCTTGGGGTATTGTTTGTGTTTGTAATGCGTTTATCTTGCGGATTAACTAACTATGTTGCACCATCTCCAGTCAAGTGGAAAGCCTAATACGTTTTAATAAATGTCACATAAGTGGGAGGGGGGTATGCGATAGACTTACCTCCACGTGGTGCACCCTGGGCAACGTATATTCATAAGGCAAGAAAGTCTGTTAATCGGCGATTGACTTTGGCTTCAAACTGCCACCACGCCACTGTATGCCATATTTGACTACCTCCGCAGTACTCACCTCACATTTCTTTTACCTTTGTGTCTGTCTCTTTTACATCCTTGAAACATTCTTCTCTTCCCACCCACCCACCCTCTCTCAACTCTTTTCACTTTGATGTTCCTTCCCCTCTGTGAAGCCTGAAGTCAACTAAATGGCTAATGATAAATATCAAAACGCCTGCTATTTGATATGAATAAATATCACCTAGGTCTTTTGCATGTCCATATTTGTATATCTTGTTTGTTTTTGTTATAGTCAACTGTGGTGATTGGACAGAATTCAGGTCGCGTACGGATGTTGAGTCTAGCTGCAGCTGTCCCACTAACCTCGGCCGATCTCCGTGTGGAGGTATCCAATCTATGTACAATTGATTCTTCCGGCGGAGAGTTCTTAGCGGGACCTAGCGAAGAGAGCGAAAATGACGACCACAAAGGCCGCCTCTCATGGATCCGCATCTTCAGGACCTCTACACCCACTTCTACGGAAATATTTAGGATGGTCACCTACTGTCGTGTTGGAGCTGTGTCTGTGTGGAGTATCAACTCCACTGGGGATTGTCGCCTGCTTCGAAAGTTCGCTGCTGTAAGTTTAGCCACCAAAAGGTGAACTATGTTTCTACAGCAGTATGCACTTTATTTCTTCACAGACAATCTTATGTCACTGCAAGGGCACTCAGGTGAAATTTGAAACAGACACTTTACTTTCTAAACCATCCGCAGTTTCTCCAATTCTTAAAAATTAATGAATCTTGCTGTGATCCCAAGGCAGGTCGAAATTTCACAACTGTGGCATGTTAGGCATGGGGATGGTTTCATCCTTTCCAGAATCACTCCGGTTCTTTTTTTTTGCGTCGAAAAGATTCTAACTGGAATATTTTTAGTGATGAATAGTCTCTTGATCATCGAACGTGCTTTAGTTGTCGTTCTTTCAATAATGATCACGATGAAACTCGATGGATGACCTGTGCTAACTGCATTGCCTAAACTCTCTGTGTGGAGGACCTACTTAGATTGAGCTATTTAGATGTGTTCATTTCAACTGGGTATGTGGGTTTTAAAGTCGGTATACGGAACGCTTCACTAAATTCTATTTTTTTCGCATGAGTCACAATTAGCATTCTTGGTAAATTTTCCTAATCACGGCCACTTTTAATTCGTTGGGTTAAATATGATTGTAAACACTTGGAACAAAATAAGATCGCACATGGTGGCCCTGATTCTCTATCAACTGCGACAGTTCGTGTGTGTGGGTGAACATGTAGAACTAATTTCTGTTATTTTTATGTATTTATTTATTTATAACAAATGGCAGGCGTTTTGATAGTTATCATTAGCCCTTTAGTTGACTTCAGGCTTCACAGAGGGGAGGAACAACAAAGTCACAAACGGAGGAGAGGGGAACAGAAGAGGGATTCACAGATGTAAAAGAGGCAGAAAGGCTCAGAGAGAGTAAGATGAGAACTGTGCAGGGGTCGAATATGACATAGAGTGGGGGTGATGGTTGTTTGAAGTGAGAAGTCAACTGCCGGTTAATAGACTTGTTTTGCCGTATGAGTATACGTTGCCCAGGGTGCACCACGAGGAGGTAAGTCTATCCCACATCCCTTATTATTAATGTTTAACTCATTGCTTGTCTTTTCAGAATCTCTCGTCGTTCGCCGTTCCAGCTCCAGTTATTTGCGTGGATGATCGCATTATGTTTGGCGATGGGGTATGTTCAAATAATATGAAACGGATATGCTCTTGTGTTTTAATACCTAAAATGAAATCATAAGTACTTTGAAAAGTGCCATTTTTGTGCGTTATGCTCATGTTTGGTTCTATTAGATTTGGGGGCGGGTGGGGGGGGGGGGGGATGAGCTGGGGAAATGAACCGCTTCGCTACCCCCATTCCACCTTATTGTCTGCGCTCACTTTAGTTTGGAGTATGTATTTGCTCGATTGCTTCGAGAATTGAAGTATTGCTGTGTAAATATCGTGGTTTGAGCCGAGGTCTGTGATTGCGTGCGTTTGAATTTCTTCTTTTAAAGCCTACCTTATTTCGCAATTTTAAACTCAAATAACATAGAGATCCACAATAGTGCTAATCATGAGCCTACCAACACTATAAATGTTTCTTAATTTTCCTTTTATGAATGAAGCAGCAGCGTAATTAAAATCCGTTTTGGGTTGTTTTTCATTGCCTCTTGTGGCTGTTTTTTTAACTAGGGCTACCTCCGCATCATTAACCCCAGAACGGCCAAATATGAACAATCAGCTCAATTAACGCCTCCGGTGTTGGCTGCTGCACCAGCTGATCCTGAGCACAATCATAATCAACAACGCCGTGCAGTTCGACAGAATTCAGAGGAGTGGATACGCGGTTTGGGTCCCCTGGGTATTTCCTCTAGTTGTGATGGCAGGAAACAACTTATCTGCGGCCTCCAAGACAACGGGCGCACCATTTTTATTATCCCTAAATCAAGTATTCTCAGATAATCCCATCCAATCTCCCTTCCCTTCTTACTCACGTTTTATTGAGCGCTGATGTCTCCTCTATCTATACCCTAGTCTACTTTCCCTTTTATATGTGTGTGTGTGTACATATGGGGTCTCTTTTTGTATTTTTGCATACGACTTACAACAATTGGTTTATAGTAGATCTGATGAATTAAAAAGCTTCTTGTTGTTTTGGCATTGGCCATTAAAGGCAAGGGTTTGTTTTACTTGCGTACCTTTCAGATGGCAGCCCAGTACCTGGGTATTATTTCTACAATAGTTGAACACCTTGTTAATATGCGATATTTCTTGGAAATATTGATGCATATCAAATGGCAGGTTTTATGATAGTTACCATTAGCCCTTTAGTTGACTTCAGGCTTTACATGGGGAATGCGAATCAAAGTCACAAAAAGTGGGGAGGGGGGGGGGCGAAGAGTGATGCACAGTCAGAGAAAAGGTAAGATGAGTACTGTGGAGGGGATCGAGTATGACATAGAGTGGGGTCATGGTAGTTTGAAGACAGGAGTCAACTGCTGCTCAATAGACTTTTTGCCGTATGGGCGTACGCACGTGGAGATAAGTCTTCGCACACCTCTACGCACACAGCTAAAGACAAATTTCTGATTTCTTTGACACGTTAAGTGAAATACGGCCCTCCGGTGGGTCGTTTCTGGTTTCCATCTGCTACGAAGCGACCTACAATTGGGTCGTTTATAAAAATATTAGGTTGGCAACTAAGTCATTGCCGATTTCAAATAAGAAGGCAAATTCGGAATTTTTGTTTAAAAATATAACTTTATTCAATTAGATATTGGCCGTTCTTGTCGATGACCTTTTCCACGTTCTGGCAGAGTAAAAATTCCCCGTTCGTAAAATGTCTGGTCTTTGCTATTAAAAAACTGAATTAGGTGTGATCCGACATCGTCCGCGTTGTTACAAATTTTACCATTTAAAGAGTTTTGCATGGAACGAAACAAATGGTAATCCGAAGGCGCAAGGTCAGGGCTATATGGTGGGTGTGAC